GGACCGGTATCTGTTTTTTTTCAGACGATGATTGTCATTGAGCATCTGACGAAAAACGGTCCCACCGTTTGAGCACACCAGTAGTGCATTCATGCACGCACACACACGCACAGGCACTCGGGACCATGAACCGATTAAAGCACTGAGTTACTTGTTTCCGCTTCCGATGACCGGAAGAGATTTCGCACAAGCCTTCTCATCGTTCTCGTCTCACTTTCTTCTGTGGCAGGGATTTGACTGTGTTGATTCATCCCATTGAACCACTAATATAGACCCTGAATAAAACAAAAATAGAACAATGCTAACAAATCTTGTGTTCAAGGATTTGTTCTCTGTAATTAATATTTCATAGATTTTCGCTGCGTAAAATGAAAAACTGGGAAAAAATTCACCGTGTGATCAAACCAAAATCCCCAGCACTTTGAAGTAATGCCATGGTTTACTAATGTAGACTCCATACTCACGCACCATTTTCAGTTCATCCAGTCAGCCATACACTCGATAGACACTGGATTCGAGTTTCACTCTCCTTAAAGCTCATATTTTTTGATAACTTGGTCAAAAAAGGGTAGGGACGACAGTCGCATACAAAAAATGAAGTCAACTTCAGAGCAGATCATATCTTCTGTTCTCGGTTTGATCCATAAACAGAATATGATGAAGATTAGGGTGAGTGACATTAGGACGTAGGTATGAAGAGTCATGAGAGACACAGGGACTCAAAAACGTTGTTCTGTGCTCACAGAGGTAGCGGACTCCAAGTGCTTTTGCTGTGTCCAACACGCGAAATCCAGTCCGCTCAGACTGCTGTTCACAGACCTGAGAGAGGGAGTGATATGCTCGTGTCAGTGAACCGGACTCGACCAGAAGCGAAAAACATGAGCTTGTAATCGATTTTTATTAACTCGTGGAACCAATCGTCTACTCGAGCAACGAAAAGATGCTGAATCACGGAAACAAGTAAAGAAATAAATTCAAATGAAGTTCACATAAACAGAAGAAATTTATCCTTGAATTGGAGGTTCTGACCCCGATTATGTCATGAAGTTTAGTCACATTAAATGCTAGACTGAATACAGTTGTCACCGTTAGAGTAACTGTGTCCGTCAGTGTCACGTGAGAACAACGCCCGTAAGTGAAATGGCTTCTACTTTTCTAATCAAGCAGATTTTCTCTTCATTTTCTCGGGTGTTTCTATTTGCTACCCTCAAAATGATCCACTCATCTTTTTTTAACCACCTAACCCAAGGGGTCTACTTCTTTTTGGTCATATCATCGGAGCACATATTTTGCGCTCAATCAGCGAGACACCAAATAAAGTTTTACGTTGTTTTCAGAGTTAAGAAACCTTTAACAATGTCTTGATTATGCGATTTTCTGTAAGCTGAGAGTTAGATAAACCCAACCGCAGGAAATGTCATCCGATTTTTAGTTTCTTCCAATATGGTAATTTGATTATATTTGGAATTGCACAAACGAGGGCGCCATTAGTGCATTGAGAGCACGATTCGGGTTACAAAGCAGAAAACGCCACCAAAATGTCTTCCTCTTTTAGTTTTCAATTTTTTATTGCAAGCTTTCAAGCGTGATGCTCCAGCACTGTCGTTACGATGTTCATGACAAACGGGCCTTGTAGAAAACTCGACACTTTTCTGAAAAGTAGCATCGAATTTGAATCGTACGGAACATGCGCTAAAACAAATTTCATCGAATCCTCCGCCAGGATAGGTGATATCAGCGGCTAGGATGCATGCCACACACAAAAAAATGATTAAATCAGAACAAGTCAAGTCAAGAGTGCACTTTATTCAAGTCAAGTCAAATCAAGTCAATTAAAGCTTTATGCACCCGATAGGATGAATTTTCAGCATTTTCGACATGTTACAATTGAAAGAAACGTTAAGTATCAGAAAAAGAAGAAATATACATTTACTAAATGACAAACAGACG